AGCAAGGGGCAGTGACTTTATTTAGTGGCGAGTCACATCCGCCACGTCACAGTGTTGTTAAACGGACATATGTGGCTTTTTATAGGGAGAACGCTTGCCAGGCGAAAACCCACCACGTCCTGGAACACTGCTGCCGAAACATTTGCTGGAACGGGAAAATCCCGAACCACCCAGCTGGCACCACGAGGAGGTTGTTCGGCAAGCCAGGATGTGTGCGGACAGCCAATTCACAATCTGTTAAAACGCTGCAAGCGTTGGGCTAAGTACTTGGAAAGCAATTTAATCGACTGGAACTTCTAGACTGGCTACCGACTAGTGACCGCCCTGCTCCGTGTGCCGTCCCCTTGTATTCACCCACACGCGCAGAAGTCGACAAGGTGCTCAGACAGTTGAATTTGACTGAGTCCTCAAAGGCAGGTATATTTTCTCCAACACCTTGTTGATTATCTAAAGAACATACAAATGAAGCAGTGGGAGCAAGATAGTGTCCCATTATTGTTCCGACCTTCCAGCGGGGTCCACGTTCGGAATGCGGCAATCATATATGGATCAGTCTGATCTCAATTGCTTCTTGGTTTTGGAGAAGATTCATCGCAGCTAGACTATGCCTGACAGCCATCACACACTCTAGAAGGCGCTTTCCTCCACGTGTGCTGGCTATGTGGATGAGTACCCATACTACTTTTAGGTTGCTTGCGTCTATCGTTCTCCGCAGACTGACTGGCACACTTAAAAGTCAGATTCGCGAAGAACGATCCATGTTTCTTCGAGATCGAGAATATATTGTCCAGATATTCACATTACTTCTGTTGTTGGCACACCGCCATATCTATAGGCGACCCACAGATATCGTGCTCTTCGACCTCAAAAGTGCCTTCGACTCGGTGAATCGATGTGAGATTGCCTGCTAAGGAAATTTATACCCGATGAATATGTAAATGTTACCCGAGCACTTTACACTCGTAGCCTGGGCAAACTGAGGGTTTTAGGGCAAACTGTCGCCGCTCTGCGGTATCTCCGGTGTTGTGTGACAAGGTTGTTGGCTGTCAGCTTTCCCCTTAACTTCACCTTTGAAGAAGTCATGGAATCTACGTTCGATGGGGACGATCTACGAAGTGTGAAGCTTCTGCTATTTGATTGACTTTTTGACATAGAGTACGCTGACTATATTGGTCGAAGCTGTGCGAGCACAGAAACGTGCCAAGTAGCACTGGACGACTTGTCATTGGCTTTCAGCCCTTACGGACTGTGCTTTGCACCATCCAAATGTAAACTTTTCCTTTAAGATTGTCACAGACCATCTCCTGCTCTGACCATTTTGGTGATCAACTATACTCCGTTTTGAAATTGAACTACCTGAGCAGGTGTATCAGCGCATATAGAATAGCGGATGAGATCGTGCACTGTATAGCCAAAGCTCGAGGCTCTTTTTCCAGTCTTCGGCACCTTTGATGCTGTTGCGACACCATTGTCCTCCTGAAGGGTCTAGTCTACAATCCATTCGTCTATCATGTTATTCGATTGTGCAACTTGTCCCATCAGATCGACACACGTAACGATGTTAGCAACGTTCACAGTTTGACTCACATCTGATGATGAACGTGTTCGATGTCTTGGAAGAGGAATTGAACTGGTCAGCATCGTTACATCACGCATCAGGCTTCTGTGTTTGGGCCGTGATTTGCGCATTCCAGCACACCGACTTGCGCGAGATGCGTTGTTTGTGTGATGGGGGTCTGGATGGAAGAAGAGGAAGGGAGGCGAGCGGACAACTTGTTCACCAAGAATGATGTCTGTCATTTGGAAGTTGGCCTCAGTTGGAGGCTCTCAACTCCTTAGTTCTGATCTGATAGATGATGATGACGTTAAGTGTGAGAATCATGTTGATATGGCGAAGAATCGACATTAGTGACGTTTGTGTTATGAATGTTTGTTCATCCACCTCCCCATGGCCTTCCTTGCTATCCGCGATCTGTTTCGACGGTTAGTATGCTTTTCGTTTCAATTTTCTTTGTTCTTTTTTATTTCTGTTTTTACTACCATGCAATTTGTCCGTACTGCGGCACAACAACTGGTATTTTTCTCACTTTTAGTTGACGTGTGTGCTGATTAACTGATGTAATCCTTATCCTGAGCTGGACTCTGAGCTTTCAGCCAGTTTGGATCTGCTTATAACACATTTAAACTTGCGAAAACTGCCGGCTCGACATTTGCTGTGCGGCAGACCGGCTATCCTGTGTTCGATTTCAAAACTGTATCTGGACAGATCGTTACATCTGCTCGATATAGCTTTTCCAGTACGTTTCTGATTATCTTTCTCTGTCTATTCCTGTCGCACCAGCGTTTATCTGCATATAGACAGTTTTGTCCTGGTTGTGTAATCCTAGTCTACCTAGTTTATGTAACCGACAACTATCGCGAATTGACACTACGTGCGCTGGTGGCTGGTGGATTAGGTGACCGAACCTGATACGGTGCCAGCGGAGAGTAAGCCCATCTAACACCTCCCACGCCAGTTAACGACAACTGCATGGGTCGGATGGAGATTGCAGAATGGGCTTGGCCTGAAATAAACGGAGTGCAACTTGGTGCTGGCGGTGACTACGGTTAGGATCTTGTGAATTCGAGAACACTGATCGCACGAACCAACAGGTGATTTGCGTCACAACAGAATTGCGATCCAAGTTTATGTGTGCTACACTGAAAACTTATGTCCATGGTCGCTGCCCAGACATCGTTTTAACTCTCAGCAAAGTAAGCTCATCAGCAGTACGCCTGCTACGTAGTACCGACACTTTGCTGCCGCTCTCATATGGTTACGTAACACACATCAGTTCAGAGAGACCTACTGCAGTAGTATCATCCACTGGTGCGTTTTGCACTCTTAAAGTACGGAGTTTTCTAGCACAGCCGCCAGCCGGCGACTGACCTCTTGACCGTTGGCGACGAGTATGTAAGAAAGTATATACTTCTCGTGATGTCATAACCCTGAATTGTTGGTCAGTTCACTATTTTGGCAGCTGCATCAGCAGTGGCTTGCGCGTGATTTCTAAGAGCTACCTGTTTAGAACTCCTGAGCCGCTTATGTGAATTCGCGTCACAACTAAGTGTTTTCCTTGCACTTATGGGGTGTGTTTGCGGTAACGCGTCGCCTATTGTTCAACCCTATTGGTTCTTGGCTCTTTTAGTGTGTGCACCTCATGTACCTTCAAATCTTCATCCGTTGTTGTCTGCGTAGCATTGTTCATTTCGCATAGCCCATCTACCTAGGGCGTGCTTTAATCGGCATCAAGTTGTGTTACTCAGTGCAGTTGTTTCGCCGGATATTTGACTCGGGTGCATGCTTCAGGTGGTCATCCATCGCTTTCTTTGGAGGACCATACCTTTTTTTACCAGTCGTTGCATGGCGTACATATTGGAGAGTGGGTCATTCATTGATCCGTTGAGGAATAAAGTTTTTTCACCCCAAACTGAATGCCATTGTCCAACCTAGTCCTCCTGGTTGTAACCAACGCGATCCAATCTCCGTGCTACTCGAGATCTTACACCACGTATCACACATCCGGCGCTATTGTTTCATCTGTTATCGTTTCTTGGCCAGCTCATCCGTCATTGCGTGTTTAGTACAAGTGTGTTTGTGAGCTAATATTGATTTTGGTGATTTGGAGGCACTGAAGGCCCTATTACGCTGTCTCATAGACGCCGCTTCCTTCGCTTACACATGTTAGCTAGTGATTTGTAACCTTATCGTATTAGTATCGGTGTTATTTTACGTCACGACATGCTTGCAAACAGTCGTTGGACTTCATCTGTGCCCTTATCGCCGCCCCCATTTCTGCATTAGTTTAAAGGCGCTGTTCTCAGGTGTTGAGGTTTCGCTGTTGTTCTTGTTGTTGTTGTCGTCGTCGTCATCAGTTATTTCTTCGTAGCTTAGTCTGCGCACGCCGATTTGCAAAAGCTCACTTTAATTGATTTGTATGGTCTACACCAGCATACCGGCAAGTAATCAAAGAAGCTCATTTCAGACTTATCTTGTTGCCCAGGGATGCAAAAGTTAGGGGATGCGGCATCGAATAACTCAAAAGTCCGATCACTTTTACCAATTGCATTCTGTCGCGGGAACGTGAAGTAATTCCTCAAAAATACGTACTCGCGGCACGTACTCCAATACTCGTTTGCGCAAGTAACGGGCTACGCCACGTAGCAATCGCGCTGTAAGCACGTGGCTTCACAATCACGACGCAGCGGGGTTTAGAAAACAAAATTGTGCCTCCAAAACTCACGCCCGGCGTAGTTAGTTATTTTTACTATAACCAAGTGGGTATCCTGGCCCGTATCGCATTTCTGCGGAGTCAGTAGAAACTCGTGCGAAAGGTCTGTCTTTCTTCTCTCTGGACGAGATGCGTTCGTAAGGGTCACCTTCGTCTCTAATAGCGTGCGTCACTTGATTGACAAAGTTTATGTTATCGTCTATACGGCCTTATGGCGCAACCGATCAGAATTGCCTATTCGCCTTATGGACTCTAAACGAGCTTTTGATTTGAGTGCATCCAGCGATATGGGGGATCCGTAAAGCATTCTCAATTCTCAATCCTCACGGTGACTACTGAAATGTGTAAACCAAATCTCCGACTTTGAGTCATAATCTGTTCAGCTGTCGTTATGACTGAAACCGACCATCAGTCAGGGTCAAGATGGAGTCCGTACAGTGGAACTGGAATTCTTCCCACCTCCACAACCAGTTGATTCCGGTTGTCTATTGCTTTAACGTATACTGCTTCACAAAATACAATGTTCTGCTTCACTCCTCTTCGTGTTTTTTTATCACTTTTTCATGTAATCACCTCGATGGAATACGATCTCAGATTATTCCACCTGCACTCCGCACACTCAATCAACTACAAAACCAATGGTTACCTACGCTCTTCAGCGGAAAAATGTTTCTCCAAATGGTTTGGTTTCCGTGTAACCTTTTCCATACTTGTTATTCTATCATTCAGATGCCGACAAAACGTACTCAGAAATTAATATCCCTTATCCCAAGACCTGGCCTATCAAACATCATTCAGTCGGAGATTGCAACACTTGTCTGAACAATCTAACTGAGGACGGGCCTATTGCTGCAAGCAAGTTGTTGAAGCTAAGTGATTCCACTGCTTGTCTCATGCCGTCCGGCTGTGTGCCGTACAATAGTCACATAAAAGCGATGGTCGAAGTGAGTCAATCCCGGTTCCATATTTTGCACGTGTTTTCAGTTTCCCTTACTTGTCATCGTCATCACCGGCGATCATTTGAACTGAGGTATATTTTAAGATGTTGCACTATCTCACGTATCTCTCGCGACTGCTGCTGCTGCTCGCACAGATGACCGGCAAGCCATCCCATTTCGGTGTGTTTTCGATTATTCGTAATTCACTTCATTTCACTTAAACACCTATGGTCTGGGCACCGAAGTGCGGTGAATCCAGTCGCCATGACTCGTATCGCCAGGATAACAATAAGTAACAATAGTACGAACATGATGTTAGACGCAAACAGAACACAAAGAGGATGGCGTTGAGAAAGAATTGCGTAAAACCGACCGAAACCAAAAGAACATCAGAAGCAATATACAGAGAACCGAATGTGGGAGCGCCACTGACTGCGTGACTGTGCTCTGTCCGATAGCGTCTCTAATCACTGATGTGGACCATCCTCGAAGACGACACGCATCAGCCTGACCAAGTCTATCAGTCAGTGAAACATGGCCAAGCGTCTAATGTCTGACATAGCGGCCCGGTTGTGCGACAATTGCGCTTTGAAGGTGTAAGACATTTTCAACCGTGCAGTGCTGCGCGTCAGTCTGTTCAGTAGTATCTGAATAATCACCACGTCGGACTTAAGTAGAAAGACATGTCCTCCGCATTCAGGCCAGTCATTCGATCACCTGGCAAAACTTCTATCCTGTGAGCTTTTCAAAAAACAGTCATGCTTAATCATTCCATCACAGTTGAAAATGATAGGTAGTATACATCCCTAATGGAACCCGCTTCTCGGATGGACCTCAGGAGACACCTTTTCGTAGACGCTTACCAGGCCTCGGGACTCGCAGTAGAGAGATTTCGGCTTTCCAAACACCTGCACGAATTGACAGTGACACAAACTAGCACGATCGACAGAGTCCAAGATGGCTTTCAGGTTATGGAAAATCACCATAGTCGGTTGTCTGTATGTCTGCTCCAACGTTTAGCGGTGTGATCGATACAGCCACCACCAGGGCGTCAGCCAGCCTGGCTTTCATTGATTCGGCACTCACGATACTTGTGAGTTCGGAGTCGATGTAAGGAAGGCTAATCCCTCGATGTTTTTCGCACAAAGTCCACTGACTCTTTTTGCAGATGGGTATGATATTTGATGGTCGCCAGTCTGAAGGAACCTCTTCATTTTCGTAAATGGAGTTGAATAGAGCACGTTCAGTCAAGAGAAAGTCATCTGCATCTTACAGCAAAGATAGTCGGATCTAAGAGCCTTGTTTCGATTCAACGTGGAAAGTTCATGTCAATTCGCTTCAAAGGTGGGAGATGTGACATCAACTTTTTACGTCGTCTCAGTTGATTGAGTAACCGGCAGTATCGCAACAGACCTGTTGAATTGCTCTCCAAAATATTCCGTCCAACATGCTAGCCGATGTGGCTTAGAATGGATCAACTGTCCATCTTTCAAAGCGATTGTCGCACTAACTGACGGCTTTCTTGGAACCGTGTTCCGGATGAGTTAGAACAGCTTTGTATGTTCACAATAACACTAATTTTCTCCATCTCACAAACCCTTGCCACCCACCAACTTGCTCGGTTAGTTCGCAGATTCCTTATCAGCCGTCGTTTCAGGGTGGTACGGACACGCTGAAATCCACCACCCAACGGAACCTGCTTCCGTGCTTCGATCAAACTGAACTTTGTCTCGGAGACTTACTCACTGTTAAGTCATCTCAAGTTAGGTCCAAAATAGGCGTCAGAAACGTTCCTCATGACTTTAGTCAGCGTACGGTTTGCCAAACCTATTCACTAGTAACGACTAGTGTACCAGTTCGTCGTGATATTGTTAGATTCCGGACTACAAGTTCAAGTTGCGAACGAGACGCCTACAAGTTAGTCGTTTCTTTGAAGCGAAAAGAGTGAGTGCTAAGCGTGCGCGCACTAGAGCATGGTCGGAATCCAGGCACGTGCTCCAAATTGACCGACAGTCCGACTTGTGTGCGACATCTGTAGCTAATGGCATTATGGTCAATTTGGGTCTAGGTCATTGAGGAATTCGGTGGACGCCAGGTGACGCGATGTGAGCGTTTGCGCCGGAAAGCAATGCTGCTAATATAAAGATTGTGGTCGGCACATAGTTGCAGCAATCGATCCCTGTTGTCTCTTCAATGTGCATCGACATCGAAGCGGCCGCTCAGGTGTTGTTTATAGTCTTAAAGTGGACCCACTTGGGCATTCATGTCACCAGAAACAATCACGATATCAGCATTTTTCTCCACTCGGAGAAGAGATGAATGTTCACGATAGGAATTGTCTTTGATGCTTTCCGAACTGTAGTCAGTAGGGGCTTAGACAGAGATGATGAAAATGTTGTGATGCCGTTGAATGTACGGCTAACCTGCTGCTACCGTGCAGCTGACCGCCGCCAGAAATATGTAGTGATTTCCGCTGACTTTACGGATAACCTGCCTGAATCTTCTGTGCCGCCCTCGACCAGTTCGACACACCATGAAATGAGAACGCCAAGACCAGTCGGACCGAGGGATTCGGATTCAGATTTGTATTGTGTGAGAGCATGACGCAAATAATAGGTTGCATGCAACTACTAACACCACAATATTATTATTATCATTATTATTAGTATTATTCATTAACACAACTCAAATGTTTCAAGTTCATGGTCTAACTTGCCGTTGATTCTACATAGATTCGCGTTTTGATCTCTACTCTAGTTCGATCTCCAATTGTAGATCGATCCACTCTTGCGCCACGCCTCTCGGCTTGTGCGCTGAATCTCCGTAACAGAAAACGCTGTTGTTTTCAGACGATGCTTATTAACTCCAACAGTCGTTATTGTTATGCAGTCGAGTAGAGTGCCTTCAGCATACTTGATGAGGGCACTACTAACACCGTAAATACCTTGAGTCATTCACTCAATATCGCCGTAAACACAAAGAATATGGTCATTGTCGATAGATTCTGAACCATAGAGCTGAGGTATCGATATGGTGCCATTCTCGTGTATGATTTTTCCGGGGACACACACATAATATCGATAGAGTAAAGAGATAGAGTTCGTACTTCCTCTTTGCCCATCTGACCCAGCGTACGGACATTACACGAACCAATGTGAAGGGAGATTCTGTATTTGAGGGACGAGTTACATTTATCGATAGCATCAGTTGCGAGCTTATCGGCGTTCTCTTACTCCCCTTAGGTTTGACATTGTGGCTTTTCAAGTGCTACTGAACAGACTGACGCGTGGCACTGCATGGTTCGGCATCTGTTTCACACCTTCAAAGTGCAAAGCAGTGTCGTAGGACTGGGCCGATATGCCAGACATTAAACGCTTGGCAGCGTTTGACCACCAATGCTTACAGAGTATTGCTCGCATCTGGTGGGAACACCGGATGACCAATGCTGAGGCCCACCTGTTGGTTTTCGGCAAAAGGTCTTCTAGTGCCTCACTGGGATGTTTGCTTAAGCTTCACCACTTACGTTGGCCTGGTCATGTCCTCTGTATGCCCATTGAGTGCTTTCATAATCATCATCGTACACCTTAGCTAGAGATAGGAAACACGAGTTATTGTAGCGTAGTGCATGAAAAAGAAAAAAGACGCAATACATGCACGCCAGCTGAGCCACCAATGATGGATGGACGTCGTTCCGGAGAGTTAATCGTCGGCTATTGTGCCTCAAAAAATATATCTTATTGCACCAGAAACAAGATCGTGTTTGGAGGGGAGGCTAAGTAGGAGGGGAAGGGACAAAGAAACTCGAACCACAGATGCCACTGAGGTCGGCTCCTAGCCATGTCAACAAGTGTATCCAGCCAAACATGTTCACCGTCCTTCGGTCCCCAACCAGGGAGCCGAGAGGCTCCAACTGAGGCCAACTTCGAAGTAAGGGCCTTCATTTTTCTTGACCAAGTCATCGCTTGGCCACCTCTCCTCTTCTTCCATCTGCACCCCTGGCGCACAAACAACCTACGTCGTGGGAGTCGGTGGGTTGGCATGCGCAACACGTGACCTAGCCATCGGAGCCTGGTGCGTGAAATCACGGTGCTTGACAGTTCACTTCTTCTTCCTGTGCTATAAACAAGGCGTCGAACACGCTCATGCACACAAGGTATTCCTACCAGATATGAGCCAAACTGCGAACACACCAGTGGTCGAACGTTTTTGTCTGCCCATCTAATGAGTCAGGTTTCACAACCGTACTGTAGGGTCGAACGTACCGCTGCATTGTAAACTCTACCCTTGGAGGAGTATGATGTCGCGCTGGTAGGGAAGGCTAGCAAAAATTAATCGGATATTCCCTATACGGTTCGTACTCTCATCTTCTATTGCATATGCGCTGATAAAGCTGCCCAGGTAGTTGAATTTCTGAGCGACTTCTAGCTGGTCCAAACCAATGGTCAGAGCAGGGGACGCTTCATGTGCATCTTGCAGGAAAGTATTGCACTTTGAGAGTGAAAAGCAATGTCCTAGACAACTGGCAGCCAATGCTACTCTGTCTAGTGTTGCTTAGTACCTTTTTGAGCTTTCACAGATTCGAGCGATGTCATCAGCATACTCTAAAACAAGAAATCGTTCACCTGGAACACCTCCACACCTAAGTCGCGTCCTGTGAACCCGATCTCCATAACTTCGTCAATAGCGAAGCGGTGGCTGTCTTACACAGCTAGGGATAATGAAGGTCCGCGACGGCTTGGCGTAAGCCCTCATTCTTCTGGATCTACGCGCGTAAAACGATCGGATAATATTTACATATTTCTCCGACAAACCTTTCCTGAATAGACAGTCCCAAATTACATTTCAATCCACCGAGTTGAAGACAACTTTGATGTCGAAGAACACGACAGCGGTGGGTTGCCAATACATGTGACGGTGCTCTAACAATTGACTCAAAGTATAGATGTGATCATTGCAGCCCTGACCTCAACGGAACCCGGCTTGCTCCTCAAGAATCTGGCTTCCAC